AAATGTTGTCATCTTGCTTGGTTCCAAATTTAAAGTAAATCCTTCAAATAATGAAAACGTAATTAGCATTTTCATATCCGTCAGGACTTTGTCAGGACATTGTCAGGACATTGTCAGGACATTAGTGTAACCCACTGAAAGCAAGTATTGTAAACAACAGGGCGACTAGATTTCGATTTTGACAGTTGGGCAAAGCGAAGTGACGGCAGGGAAAGCGACTTTGTCGCCCCAATCGCATGGTAGCGTGAGCCCTGAACCCCCTTATGATTCATCACCCCCAAACTCAATCTCAGCCTTCCCTTTGTGGTATGGTACCTTGCAGTACAATTTCAGAGAGATCCATACACTTGAACACAAGTTATTGTCTGGAAACTAGAAAAGTGCTTGTTTTTAGGCCCCTTTTTGGCCCCAAATTCCTAAACATTTAGGGCAATTACCCCAAACTCAAACCCAGCTTTCCCTTTGTGATATGGAACCTTGTAGTACAATTTCATAAAGATCCATACACTTACACACAAGTTACTGTCATGAAACTAGAAAAATGCTTGTTTTTTGCCCCTTTTTTGGCCCCTAATTCCTAAAATTTTGAGGCAATTACCCCCAAAATCAATCCCAGCATTCCCTTTATGATATGGAACCTTGTGGTACAATGTCAGAGAGATCCATACACTAACACACAAGTTATGTCTGGAAGTTACAAAAATGCTTATTTTTGGCCCCTTTTTGGCTCCTAAATCCTTAACTGTTGGTACCATAACCCCCAAAATCAATCCCAACCTTCTTTTTGTGGTATTGCACCTCATGGTAAAATTTCATAGAGATCCATTTACTTAAACTAAAGTTAGAGTGCGAAAACCAATGTGTCTTCGGACGACGACGCAATACATGTACCAATATATATGACCGCAAATTTTTTTTGCGGTCGTATAAAAACATGGTAAAAAAGTGATTAACTACATGTTTCAAAAAGAAATTAACATGTGGCATCATTGCTGGAATGCATTCCACTTAACAGGAAATATTGAACTTTGTAAAAGGTTTCCCAGACTTAATTTCAATAAACTTTTAACAGATTTCGTCTTGTAGTTCTTAAACTTAAACCAGAAGTGACACACATTGTAGTGCTAACAAGAAGTATGCATTTGACAGGTCCAAAATGTGCTCCGGCAACATCTCATTACTGTCAAGCTACTGACTTAACAACATCATTATGTTCAGTAGTACTGGAGAAATGTGTGTCAAAATTTTTTAATTCATTCAACGTATTGAAAAAAATTTTAAAGTATCTGAAACAGGATGTAGGTGTCTAACATATCCCTTAAAGCCATAAGAAAATTGATGTATTTAACCAAGAATTCCATCTGGCTGCAACGCTTATTTGCAATCTGAACAAAATGAACAAAATCTCTGCCAAAGTATGCTTTAGAGAAGGTAGCCACCTGCAAAATAATTTCTAATTTTTGTTTTTTTCAATATTTTTTAAACAGTAACAGCCAGGTTGGAGGCAGATTGGGTCAATAATCATAATTCTTTAAAGAAACAGGATTTATGATTTTTACAAAAAAATCAGGTTGAACATTATTTTCAACCATTTGTTACATTTCGTCTGTAGAATACGAATGAACGATATTTTGGTACCCGACTTAACAATCTTTTCATGATAATTCATCTTTTTTTTGGGAAGTAGAATTTTATCGGCACACCAAGAAATTGTTCAAAAACCTCCCCATATTGATATAACATCAATACACAGCCGTTATAAAGTTCTATTGAATTAAAAACCTGTCTTCTAAAGCAAAAAATGGAAGTGTTGTAGACTGACAACTTTAACAATTCAACTCGAAAAAGAATCAAATACAAATCTTAGTGAGATATTCTAGGACCATGATATATATTGGGATAAAACATGACTGGTGGATGGGTTTGAAGGCCTCAATGAACTTGGATACATATGTCAAAGTTGTAAAAACCATACTTGAGGGAGGATTGATTTATTCATTTAACAATGGGTTTTAGCCAATAACATTTGAAATTTCATCTAGGCTATATCTACTATTAAAGATTAAGAAATTTCTAAATCTTGACTGCAGAAAATTATTCTATAATGGTTATATCTTACCACTAATTGAATATTGTTGTATAGTGTGGAGTAGTTGTAGCATTGAGGGTTTAAATAGGATATTAAAATTACAAAAGAGAGCTGCTAGATTAATACTAGAAACAGACCCTTTCGCTCCTTCCGAGCCCTTATTCAAACATTTAAACTGGATGACAGTTGAACAGAGAATAAAATATCACAAGTTTGTGATGACATTTAAGTGCTTAAAAAATGACGCACCATCATATCTTACTAACAAGTTTCATTATGTTTCAGACAGAAATCCATACCCCTTGAGAAATGCTATTCAAGGAAACCTCATACTCCCTAAACCAAAAACAGAATTGTTCAAAAAATCTTTTATGTATTATGGACCATTCTTGTGGAATAATTTGCCAATACCGTTAAGAAATATTACAAATGTTAATTCTTTCAAATACAAAATAACAGATCATTTATTGAAATCAACCTAGCTGTACAAAAAATATTGAAAACTGATTATGTCATCACGTTTATTTTTTCATAACATTTTATCAAGTTGTATTGAACATTATTATCATATTGTCTTTTTATACTAATGTATGCAATGTATATGTTTGCATTTTGTTTGATTTCTGAGGGCCTCAGGGAAGATTAGTTATATAGCTAACTGTGTAACCCTCTTAAAATAAAGTAGTGTTGTTGTTGTTGTTGTTATTTGCCATAAACTATAAATAACATACAACACAAAAAATAATGATTCTGCTCTCAAATAAGTTCATTAGAGTACCCCAAATGACAATAAACATATTTGTTCATTATATCTATAACATTGCCACTTGTGCGAGGCGTTACTGTTTTCACCTAAAAAACTACCTTTGGAAATAATATCTCTTTTAAAGGATTATAAATGCATTATTCAACATAACTTTGTATTAGCAATTGCTCTTTCACAAGTTTTTTTTAGAAAGTTATGTTTAGTTATTTTCGTCTTTTGTTTTCATTTTTAGTTACAAAGGCTGTTATGTTTGATGACAGAAAGGCTGATCAACTGAAATTTGTAAATTTGTTGTTTAGGATTTAAAAGTGTTGTAGATATTGTACATGATAACCTTTTGTTGATTTTTACCAACAGTAGCAACAATGATTTGACAACATAATTTTTTAAGTAGTAATTTTTTAGTGATGATGCAGTACAAGGTTGGTCTGATTGGAAGTGTTGTAGACTGACAACTTTAACAATTCAACTCGAAAAAGAATCAAATACAAATCTTAGTGAGATATTCTAGGACCATGATATATATTGGGATAAAACATGACTGGTGGATGGGTTTGAAGGCCTCAATGAACTTGGATACATATGTCAAAGTTGTAAAAACCATACTTGAGGGAGGATTGATTTATTCATTTAACAATGGGTTTTAGCCAATAACATTTGAAATTTCATCTAGGCTATATCTACTATTAAAGATTAAGAAATTTCTAAATCTTGACTGCAGAAAATTATTCTATAATGGTTATATCTTACCACTAATTGAATATTGTTGTATAGTGTGGAGTAGTTGTAGCATTGAGGGTTTAAATAGGATATTAAAATTACAAAAGAGAGCTGCTAGATTAATACTAGAAACAGACCCTTTCGCTCCTTCCGAGCCCTTATTCAAACATTTAAACTGGATGACAGTTGAACAGAGAATAAAATATCACAAGTTTGTGATGACATTTAAGTGCTTAAAAAATGACGCACCATCATATCTTACTAACAAGTTTCATTATGTTTCAGACAGAAATCCATACCCCTTGAGAAATGCTATTCAAGGAAACCTCATACTCCCTAAACCAAAAACAGAATTGTTCAAAAAATCTTTTATGTATTATGGACCATTCTTGTGGAATAATTTGCCAATACCGTTAAGAAATATTACAAATGTTAATTCTTTCAAATACAAAATAACAGATCATTTATTGAAATCAACCTAGCTGTACAAAAAATATTGAAAACTGATTATGTCATCACGTTTATTTTTTCATAACATTTTATCAAGTTGTATTGAACATTATTATCATATTGTCTTTTTATACTAATGTATGCAATGTATATGTTTGCATTTTGTTTGATTTCTGAGGGCCTCAGGGAAGATTAGTTATATAGCTAACTGTGTAACCCTCTTAAAATAAAGTAGTGTTGTTGTTGTTGTTGTTATTTGCCATAAACTATAAATAACATACAACACAAAAAATAATGATTCTGCTCTCAAATAAGTTCATTAGAGTACCCCAAATGACAATAAACATATTTGTTCATTATATCTATAACATTGCCACTTGTGCGAGGCGTTACTGTTTTCACCTAAAAAACTACCTTTGGAAATAATATCTCTTTTAAAGGATTATAAATGCATTATTCAACATAACTTTGTATTAGCAATTGCTCTTTCACAAGTTTTTTTTAGAAAGTTATGTTTAGTTATTTTCGTCTTTTGTTTTCATTTTTAGTTACAAAGGCTGTTATGTTTGATGACAGAAAGGCTGATCAACTGAAATTTGTAAATTTGTTGTTTAGGATTTAAAAGTGTTGTAGATATTGTACATGATAACCTTTTGTTGATTTTTACCAACAGTAGCAACAATGATTTGACAACATAATTTTTTAAGTAGTAATTTTTTAGTGATGATGCAGTACAAGGTTGGTCTGATTGGTCATTGATTTCATAAAAAAGTTAATCAACTGACCACAGACACCAACTGATTGAAATGTGAGACAGTGGCTAATTTTAAAAAGAAGGATAAACTAAGAAAAGTGACAAATGAAAATTCCTTGTGTATTAACATAAAAGAGAAATAACTAGGTACGTATTTCATTATTATATATGTGTAATAATGACCTATATATATTTCTTTATTATATTTTAGAAAACCTTACCATCTTTGATTCTGTCAGATAATGATCCAGCACTAAAACCGGCAAACACCACATTGTGAATAGCACCAATTCTAGCACATGCTAACATGGCCGCTACTGCCATGGGAGTAGTGGGCAAATAAATTGCAACAGGATCACCTTTTCCTACTCCATGCCTTTTCAGTACATTGCTAATCTTGTTTATCATTACTGATAATTGTCTGAATAAAAAAAGTTAGATATGAATCTTACCTGGTTTTCATTTTAGCCATTGTTTAGTCATTGTTGTGACATGTATGTTTATTATAGAAATAAGAAGATGTGGTATGAGTGCCAATGAGACAACTCTTCATCCAAGTCACAATGTGTAAAAAGTAAACAATTATAGGTCAAATAACGGCCTTCAACACAGAGCCTTGGCTCACACCGAACAGCAAGCTATAAAGGGCCCCAAAATGACTAGTGTAAAACCATTAAAACAGGAAAACGAACGGTCTAATCTATATAAAAACGAGAAACGAGAAACACATCAACAAACGACAACCACTGAACAACAGGTTCCTGACTTAGGACAGGTGCAAACAAATGCAGCAAGTTTAAACATGTTAACAGGTGCCAACCTTCACCCTAACCTGAAATAGTAGTGTAACATTACAACATAGAAAGACACACTATAAAATGTCAATTGAAATGGCTTAACTCAATCAAAAAAACATATTAACAAAAACAAGTAAACATACACTGAACGAATAAATTTGATCTATGACACAATATAAATACAATATTAAATAAAAAAGGGGAGATGTAAAACAATGTCAAAAAGACAACTATAACCTTGGACAAAATGGCGTTAAATAAAATAACGTACACAGGTCAATTTAAATATAATAATTTTGTTGTTAGGAGTAAGGAAATATTTTTTACAAAATAAATAAATTTGTTGTTCATAGTACGAGAACAGAAGTGAAAATTTATCGTCATACTAAATACTTATCAAAAGTGGTACATATTAACTAGAGGCTCTTAAGAGCCTGTGTCGCTCACCTTGGTCTATGTGCTGCAGTGCATATTAAACAAAGGACTCTACAACATTAAAGACAAGAATAGAATTCATGACAAAATTCTCTGTTTTGGTGATGGTGACTTGTTTGTTGATCTTACTTTACTGAACATTCTTGCTGTTTACAGTTATCTCTATCTATAATGGACATGGCCCAGCAGTTTCTGAAGAAAAGATTTTTGTAAAAGATTAAAAAATTTACGAAAAATTGTGAAAAATTGACTTTAAAGGGCAATAACTCCTGAAGGGGTCAATTGACAATTTTGGTCAAGTAGACTTATTTGTAGATCTGACTTTGCTGAACATTTTTGCTGTTTGCAGTTTATCTCTATCTATTATAATATTCAGGATAATAACCAATAAAATGCTTCGCTGGGCGCAGCTTGATACGACCGCAGAGGTCGAACCCTGAACAGTTGGGGCAAGTATGGACACAACATTCAAGCTTGATACAGCTCTGAATTTGGATTGTGATTAAATATTTGACACAGCATAGGTTTCTGACACAGAAAGAATGTGGTCTAAGAACTTCAATTTTTTTAATTTACCTATTATGGTCCAATGTCCAAAATCAAAATACATGGTTAGATTCAGCATATCAAAGAACCCCATATATTCAATTTTTGTTGAAATCAAACAAAGTTTAATTTTGGACCCCAACTTGGACAAACTTGAAAACTGGTCCCATAATCAAAAATCTAAACACATGTTTAGATTCAGCATATCAAAGTACCCCAAGAATTCAATTTTTGTTAAAATCAAACTAAGTTTAATTTTGGACCCTTTGGACCTTAATGTAGACCAATTTAAAAAACGGGACCCAAAATTAAAAATCTAAAAACACGGTTAGATTTGGCATATCAAAGAACCCCAATAATTCAATTTTTGATGAAATCAAACAAAGTTTAATTTTGGACCCTTTTGACCTCAATATGAACCAATTTGATAGCAGGCCCACAAAATAAAAAAATCTAAATACATGGTAAGATTCAGCATATCAAAGAACCCCATATATTCAATTTTTGTTGAAATCAAACAAAGTTTAATTTTGGACCCCAATTTGGACCAACTTGAAAACTGGGCCAAAAATCTAAAATCTAAATACATGTTTAGATTCAGCATATCAAAGAACCCCATATATTCAATTTTTGTTGAAATCAAACAAAGTTTAATTTTGGACCCCAACTTGGACCAACTTGAAAACTGGTCCCATAATCAAAAATCTAAACACATGTTTAGATTCAGCATATCAAAGAACCCCAAAAATTCAATTTTTGTTAAAATCAAACTAAGTTTAATTTTGGACCCTTTGGACCTTAATGTAGACCAATTTAAAAAACGGGACCCGAAATTAAAAATCTAAATACACGGTTAGATTTGGCATATCAAAGAACCCCAATAATTAAATTTTTGATGAAATCAAACAAAGTTTAATTTTGGACCCTTTTGACCTCAATATGAACCAATTTGATAGCGGGCCCACAAATAAAAAATCTAAATACATGGTAAGATTCAGCATATCAAAGAACCCCATAAATTCAATTTTTGTTGAAATCAAACAAAGTTTAATTTTGGACTCCAATTTGGACCAACTTGAAAACTGGGCCAAAAATCTAAAATCTAAATACATGTTTAGATTCAGCATATCAAAGAACCCCATATATTCAATTTTTGTTGAAATCAAACAAAGTTTAATTTTGGACCCCAACTTGGACCAACTTGAAAACTGGGCCCATAATCAAAATAAAAAAAAACATGTTTAGATTCAGCATATCAAAGAACCCCAAGAATTCAATTTTTGTTAAAATCAAACTAAGTTTAATTTTGGACCCTTTGGACCTTAATGTAGACCAATTTAAAAACGGGACCCAAAATTAAAAATCTAAATACACGGTTAGATTTGGCATATCAAAGAACCCCAATAATTCAATTTTTGATGAAATCAAACAAAGTTTAATTATGGACCCTTTTGACCTCAATGTGGACAAAGTTGATAACGGGGCCCAAAAATCAAAAATCTAAATACATGGTTAGATTCAGCATATCAAAGAACCCCATATATTCAATTTTTGTTGAAATCAAACAAAGTTTAATTTTGGACCCTTTTGACCTCAATGTGGACAAAGTTGATAACGGGGCCCAAAAATCAAAAATCTAAATACATGGTTAGATTCAGCATATCAAAGAACCCCATATATTCAATTTTTGTTGAAATCAAACAAAGTTTAATTTTGGACCCTTTTGACCTCAATATGAACCAATTTGATAGCAGGCCCACAAAATAAAAAATCTAAATACATGGTAAGATTCAGCATATCAAAGAACCCCAAGAATTCAATTTTTGATGAAATCAAACAAAGTTTAATTTTGGACCCTTTTGACCTCAATGTGGACAAAGTTGATAACGGGGCCCAAAAATCAAAAATCTAAATACATGGTTAGATTCAGCATATCAAAGAACCCCATATATTCAATTTTTGTTGAAATCAAACAAAGTTTAATTTTGGACCCCGATCTGGACCAACTTGAAAACTGGGTCCATTATTTAAAATCTAAATACATGTTTAGATTCAGCATATCAAAGTACCCTAAAAATTCAATTTTTGTTAAAATCAAACTAAGTTTAATTTTGGACCCTTTTGACCTTAATGTAGACCAATTTGAAAACGGAACCAAAAATTAAGAATCTAAATACACGGTTAGATTCGGCATATCAAAGAACCCCAATAATTCAATTTTTGATGAAATCAAACAAAGTTAAATTTTGGACCCTTTGGACCTCAATGTGGACCAATTTAAAAACGGGGCCCTAAATCCAAAAACTTAATACACGGTTAGATTCAGCATATTAAAGAACTCCAAGAATTCAAGAATAAAACCCTATTGAAATTGATCAAGAAATAAGCAATTTATACGAAGTATCTTCTTTTGCACAATACTGTGCAATTGAATATTTCTTGCTATTGTGCAATACTGTACAATTGACAATTTCTTGCTATTGCGCAATATTGTGCTATTGGATATTTCTTGCTATTGCGCAATACTGTGCAATTGAAGATTTCTTGCTATTGCGCAATACTGTGCAATTGAAGATTTCTTGCAATTGCACAATACTTATTATATAATAATTTACACATCCTGTTTGGTGTGTATCTCCTACCATATCATTATTATTTGCTTTTAAATATTAATCAGAAATAACCAACTTAAAATGGAAAATTTTAAAAGAAAAAAAAAAGGAAAAAAAGAAAAAAAAAGAAAAAAAAAAATCCCCCCCCCAAATTTTTTGAACCCCCTTATGATTCATCACCCCCAAACTCAATCCTAGCCTTCCCTTTGTGGTATGGTACCTTGCAGTACAATTTCAGAGAGATCCATACACTTGAACACAAGTTATTGTCTGGAAACTAGAAAAATGCTTATTTTTGGCCCCTTTTTGGCCCCCAATTCCTAAACGTTTCGGGCAATTACCCCCAAACTCAATTCCAGCTTTCCCTTTGTGATATGGAACCTTGTAGTACAATTTCAGAAATATCCAAACACTTACACACAAGTTATTGTCATGAAACTAGAAAAATGCTTGTTTTTTGCCCCTTTTTTGGCCCCTAATTCCTAAAATTTTGAGGCAATTACCCCCAAAATCAATTACAGCCTTCCCTTTGTGATATGGAACCTTGTGGTACAATGTCAGAGAGATCCATACACTTACACACAAGTTATTGTCTGGAAGTTACAAAAATGCTTATTTTTGGCCCCTTTTTGGCCCCTAATTCCTTAACTGTTGGTACCATAACCCCCAAAATCAATCCCCACCTTCCTTTCGTGGTAATGAACCTTATGGTAAAATTTCATGGAGATCCATTCACTTAAACTAAAGTTAGAGTGTGAAAACCAATGTGTCTTCGGACGACGCCGGACGACGCCAGACGACGACGACGACGACGACGACGCCAACGTCATACCAATATACGACCAAAAAATTTTCAATTTTTGCGGTCGTATAAAAACTGCAAAATTTCCTTAAAATTACCAATTCAGAGGCAGCAACCCAACAACGGGTTGTCTGATGCGTCAGAAAAGTTTACAGCAGATAGATCTTGACCTGATGAACATTTTTACCCCCATGTCATATTTGCTCTAAACGCTTCAGTTTCAGAGATATAAGCCAAAAACAGCATTTTACCCCCATGTTCTATTCTTAGCCACGGCCACCTTCTTGTTTGATGGACGGGGTCATCGGATACATTTTTTAAACTAGATACCCTAAGGATGATTTAGGCCAAGTTTGGTTTCATTTGGCCCAGTAGTTTCAGAGGAGAAGATTTTTGTAAAAGTTAACGGACGACAACGGCGGACGATGACGATGGACGACAACGACTGACGCCAAGTGATGAGAAAAGCTCACTTGGCCCTTTTGGGACAGGTGAGCTAAAAAAAGTGAGACGAGATATAACATAAAATAAGTAAATATTGAATAAGAAAAATGCATTGCAAATTGTGTGGCAACAGGTCAAATTAACACGAAAGTACAATATGAGAGTACTCGCAGTTACTGAAGCTAGTTAAAAAAGATAAAAACAATTAAGAACAAGTGAATCTTTGAGCTACTGCTCACTAATGATACCCCCGCCCCACTAAAAGTATAAGGCAAACAGGAAGTTGTTAAGTGACGAATCTGAAAACGCATCACACGGTATAGCTGACTCATATAAACCCAGAAACCAAAATTCAGAAATCCTTGTAATGTAGTTCCTGAGAAAGATGTGACGAAAAATATTCATGGGACGGACGGATGGACGACAGAGGTAAAACAGTATACCCCCACTTTTTTAAAGCGGGGGTATAATAAAAAATCATGCATCAGAGACTAAAATCAACTAAAACACATCCTAGGGATTTAGTATTTTAATGCCATGGACAGTCAAAGGAGACATGACTTGTGCAATGCCAAAATAAAAGTATCGACAGGCAGTAGGATAGTTAGGATTTAACCTTATAATAAATATGTATAACTTAACTAAGAATCCAGTGATTATTTTTTTTCACTTAGTTTCTTGATCTTTTTACGCTGATTCCAAACATGCAAAAAAGGGGGTAATTCGGTTTTTTTTTCAATTTTTCTACATTGGCTAGAGGTATAGGGGGAGGGTTGAGATCTCAAAAAACATGTTTAACCTCGCCACATTTTTGCGCCTGTCCCAAGTCAGGAGCCTCTGGCCTTTGTTAGTCTTGTATCATTTTTAATTTTAGTTTCTTGTGTATAATTTGGAGTTTAGTATGACATACATTATCACTGAACTAGTATACATATTTGTTTAGGGGCCAGCTGAAGGATGCCTCCGGGTGCAGGAGTTTCTCGCTGCATTGAAGACCAATTGGTGGCCTTCGGCTGTTGTCTGCTCTATGGTCGGGTTGTTGTCGCTTTGAAACATTCCCCCATTTCCATTCTCAATTTCATAATGTTATATATAGATAAAGCAATCTCTATATAGAAAATGAACGTGGATGTGTATTTATACATCCCAAAAAAAAATTCGAAAATAATACAAATTTAGTTATGTTCTAATTTGTTGATGACAAAATCGATATTTGTGCCAATGTAAACAATATTCAAACATCTTATTATTTCAACTTGGAACTATTTTTAATTATGTAATTTTCATAATTTCTTCTGCTTGAAATTTTTAATAAATTCCATGTTTATTCTGTATTATAATGTTTTGAGAGGTGCATAACACTTTCCATACAATGTATTTTGTATAGATAGTGTTGTGCGCCGCACAGTACATCCTATTGAAAATGTACTATCTTTGTAATAGAAAGTGTTGTGCGCCGCACAGAACATTAAAATATAGAATAAACATGGAATTTATTAAAAATTTCAAGCACAAGGAATCATGCAAATTCCATAGTTAAAAATAATTCCAAGTTGAAATAATAGCCTGTTTATTACAACATTAATAAGATAACCTTTACTAATAAGTTTGTTTAAAGATTCAATGAGTTTACACGGATCACATAGTGATTTCCGCGCTTTTAGTACAATATTACCGTAAAATTTAGGATGTGAAATACCGTTTTTAATAAGTTTTCTACAGGTACATATGCATGTATTTCGTTATGTGTACTGGCAAAGATGTACATACTGTTGTCACACAATGCAGTCTGATTCCTTTTATTCTTATCAACAAAGTTAAGTCAAATATAGGCTTACCTTTCTTGATGCTTAACTAAGAATCCAGTGATTATTTTTTTTCACTTAGTTTCTTGATCTTTTTACGTTGATTCAAAACATGCAAAAAAGGGGGTAATTCGTTTTTTTTTTCAAATTAATGCTAAATGTGCTGAATGTGCCATAAGACCCTATTTTCAATCTACTTTTTGTTCAGTCTTTCAACAATAAGGGCTACATCTAATGCTAATATTTTACAACTATGTCAATATGATTATTTTGTGAATAGCAATTAAAATTCCAAATTTAAACTTTCTTCCGGTTGTTTTTCACTTTAATGCATTTTTTGAAAATTCTGTCGGAAAGGGCTAAACTCATCAGATTGGTACTCACAAAAACAACTAGCAACAAATTACAAAGGACACAAAGCACCGATCTAAGACAACTAAAAAGTTTATTCTCTTTTAAAAGTTTATTCTCTTTCACCTATGGCACCATATAGTTATGTATTGTACGTATTACTTAAAGAATTTTTTGGGAAAAAATAGTGTCTGCAGGAAAATATTCATGAAAAGCTGAACAATGCCCATAAAACCAATGGAATCTTTCCTGAACAATGCGTGAACTCTACCTCAAATCTTCTGAACCCTTTCTGACAAATATCTAGGCAATAGCTTACTATGATCTGAACTCTTCCTGAACAAAAGATGAACATTGTCTGAAAAGCAATTTGTATCTTTTGATTTTCTTCATACAAAGAATTAGCCAAAGAAAAGCTAGAAAGATTCACAATATTGAAGTATATTTTTGTTACATGCAATTTCATTTCCTTAGTCAAGAATTCATAAATGAGTCAATTTGAACAAATGGAAGAGATCAGCACCTCCAAAATCAAAATATTGATAAAAGTTGATAATTAACAAGCATTGTGTGTATTGCCTGCCAATACATAGTCCCCTACCGGTTAAAAATTCATTGTACTTTAACAAAATCCTTACTTGATCTATAACTTGTCATGGTGTAAACTATATAACAAATATCAAGTCAATATCTTCAAGCATGACGGATGAAAATGTGGAAAATTGATTATTTGAGTGAATTTTGTAAGTCCAAGGACCATAACTCTGCACAAAATCATCAAACCGGAACAAAATTCGAACTTGATCTGTAACTTGTCATGATAAAACTATATACCAATTATCAAATTAATATCTTCAAGCATGATGAAAATAAATGTGGATAGTGTCCACATGTGGACACAGATGATGCCCCCACTTGCATATCATATAGTTATAAAGGGACATAACTGAAGAACGGTAAAAGTGACGCTACCCAAATTTGAACTTGATCTGAGTTTT